GGAAGATGATTAATTTTTAGTTGGTCACCAAGGAGTTTTGTGCTGAAATTTTAGTAGAATGATGAACCAGTCCCAGATGTCTTATAACTGGACTGCTTGTGTTTCCCCATTGGCTGGTTGAGAGGAATAAGGATGTTTTAGCCTCACGCTAAGGGGTAGGGCCTGTCACATGATTGGATGGCACAGGTATGGGGTCCTGGCTTAAAATAGCCGCCTGAACTCAATTTCAGTTGAAGTGAGATGAAGTGCTCTAGCTTGTTATTCTTTCGTTTCAGGTAAGAAAGAGTTAGACCCTTCAATTCTTCTCAAACTAGACTTTCTTTCTTTTGAATTGAAGAGTGTGCTCGGCATTTCTGTGCAGTCTGTCATACCTTATTCAATTCGAACCGGCTTGGCATCAGGGATCTCAGGCATTGCATTTCGGTCTGCCAGCTTACACCAAGTACCTGTTGAATATTGAGCACAGAATGTTACACCATGAATCCTTATAATATATCTTCTTCAATTCACTACGCACCACAGAATGATGGAAGCAACAGCCTGAGTGATGGTCATTGCCCAAGGGTAAGTGTGTATGAAGTGGAAATTGCTTGATCTGCGCACATGCGGCAAGCCGAACTGATCTGACGTTCTCGATCGCTGCCAGAATACTGAAATTTCAACTGAGCACGCACTCTCCCTACTTCACCCGGTCTATTCTTCTGCCTTTTCTATCAGTCCCCTCAACAACCCAGTCGCTTCGAGTGAAGCCACTCGTCGACCGTACAACTCTTCGTCTGCTGAGGTCAAAAGTCACAGGCCACAATCAATGGAATCATTAGGTCTTCCCGATCAGATCAGATTACATAACCTTTCTAACCATGGCTCCGCTGTTTCCTCTTCCAAAGAGTCGGGGCCACGACACAAGGGCAGCACTATCCGTCGATATCCAACACGGCGAATTAAGTTAACACAAGGATCGGTCTTGAGTATCAACTATCCAGTACCTAGTCCTATACGCAATGCTATTCAATCCGAATATCGAGATGCGGAAGGAGAACTTTCTGAAGAATTCACGCAAATGAGATGTGAGCAGTCGCACCAATATGCCATTTATTTCAACCCCTCGTGACAAGCTAACTTTCTTTTTTAAATCTTTAGACACCGCCGCGACATGTGATCCTGATGAATTTTCCCTACGCAATGGTTACAATCTCCGTCCTTCGATGTACAATCGGCACACTGAACTTCTCATTGCTGTCACATACTACAACGAGGATAAAGTACTGACTGCCCGAACCCTGCATGGGGTAATGCAAAACATTCGAGATATTGTCAAATTGAAGAAGACAGAATTCTGGGATAGAGGTGGTCCTGCATGGCAGAAGATCGTCGTTTGTCTTATTTTCGATGGCATGGATCCCTGCGACAAAAACACACTTGATGTTCTGGCAACCATTGGCGTCTTTCAAGATGGCGTGATGAAGCAAGATGTGGATGGAAGAGAAACGGTCGCTCACATTGTCTGTTATCCCACCTCGCCCTTCTGGATTCCAATGTTCAGGAAAATGTTCAAATGCTGATGGTTCCTAGTTTGAGTACACCACACAGTTGTCGGTTACCCCGAAGCAAGAGCTTGTGCGCCCATACAAAGAGGACCCTATGAATCTGCCCCCGGTACAGATGATGTTTTGCCTCAAGAAAAAGAATGCTAAGAAGATCAACTCACATCGATGGCTGTTCAATGCATTTGGGCGCATTTTAAATCCCGAGATCTGTATCCTGATCGATGCGGGCACAAAACCCGGACCGAAATCTTTACTCGCCCTATGGCAGGCTTTCTATAATGATAAGAACCTCGGCGGTGCCTGCGGTGAGATTCACGCGCTTCTCGGCTACCGGTGGAAGAAGCTCCTTAATCCCTTAGTTGCGGCTCAGAACTTTGAATACAAAATCTCAAACATCCTCGATAAACCCTTAGAGAGTAGCTTTGGCTACGTGAGCGTTCTTCCGGGTGCCTTTTCCGCCTACCGATATCGCGCTATTATGGGAAGGCCTCTTGAGCAGTACTTCCATGGAGATCACACACTAGCTCGGAAGCTTGGCAAGAAAGGAATTGATGGGATGAATATCTTTAAGAAGAATATGTTTCTGGCAGAAGATCGCATCCTTTGCTTCGAGCTAGTCGCAAAGGCCGGCAATAAGTGGCTGCTCACATACGTGAAGGCGTCAAAAGGAGAAACAGACGTGCCGGAACGACCAGCAGAGTTCTTAAGTCAACGGCGGCGATGGCTGAATGGCTCCTTTGCGGCATCGCTATATTCAGTCATGCATTTCAACCGGATGTATAAGAGTGGGCATAGTATCTTTCGTTTGCTGCTGCTTCATATCCAGTTGGTTTACAACATTTGCCAGTTGATCATGACATGGCTTTCACTCGGTAAGTTGATGATATCCTTTAGGGGTATGTTGGTGATCTGCCAGACTACTAAAGTCTAATAGCATCCTACTGGCTCACAAGTTCCGTCATCTTGGACATTGTGGGAACACCAAGTGCGACTAACAAGTTTAAAGGTTGGCCTTTCGGCAATGAGGCTACCCCGATTGTCAACAACATGTTGAAAATCGGCTATCTGACATTCCTTATGCTTCAATTCATTCTAGCGCTCGGAAATCGTCCAAAGGGGTAAGCATTTGGGCTTAGAGATGGGTAGTCGCTTGTAACTAACGTTCAATCACAGATCAAAACTTCTGTACACTCTCTCCTTCCTCTACTTTTCTGTGGTCCAGCTTTATCTCCTCATTTTGTCGTTCTATCTTGTTGCGCAGGCAATGACACCCGAGAACCTCACTTTTGATTTTGATCATGGTTTTGCGGCACTCGTCTCCGGCTTCATTTCCTCAACTGGTGGACTTGTTCTAATTGCCTTGATCTCAACATACGGAATCTACTTCTTTTCTAGCATACTCTACGCCGATCCTTGGCATATGATTACTTCGTCGTGGGCCTATTTCCTCGGAATGCCTTCTTCGATCAACGTTCTCATGGTCTATGCATTTTGTAATTGGCATGATGTTTCATGGGGCACAAAGGGATCAGATACCACTGCAAAACTTCCATCGGCGCAAACGAAAAAGGATGATGAAACACCTTTTGTTGAAGAGCTAGATAAACCTCAATTCGACATTGATGAGCAATTTGCAACCACTGTGAAGCGAGCCTTGACTCCCTGGCAAGAACCGATTGAGAACGAAGGGGTGGCCCTAGACGATTCATACAAAGCATTCCGAACGAATCTCGTTTTGCTGTGGACATTCAGTAATGGTCTTCTGGCGTTGTGTATCAACAACCTCAGCATTGACAGGCTTTGCCTAACGGTAAGTTGTGCCTGACTTCATTCTTCCGTTGTTAACACGCACTGACCGACATAGTCTACATCTACGCCTCGTACGGCATGGTATTTCAAGATCATTCTGTGGGCCACTTCTGGTCTTTCAATTTTCAGATTCTTTGGAGCACTTTATTTCCTAGCGAAGACCGGAGTCTTGTGCTGTGTTTCCAGACGTTGAAAAGGCTCGAAATTGGTAACCACGTTTCGATCTTTGAAGACTCAATATTCTCTGCAATTTTTTTTTCTCTCATTCTTCCCCATTTCATCCTGGATCATTCAAAGGTTGTAGATACTGTCGTGATTTAATCCAAAAAAAATTTAACATTGTCCAATTATGATGATGAGCTTGTATTTCTAGATTCGGCATGGCGCAAAGTGTAGTTTAAAAAGCCTAAACAGTACCATGGTTGCAAAGAAGGTTCCCCCAGGTTCCACCTTTTGCTGGTAAAATTTATCCTCGGTCCCGCGGGGCCCAAAAAGGGCCCTAAAAAGAAGTATGACTTGCGGAGTAGTTGTGACAGTACTTTATCAATATTTGCGTGGATGATTGACCGGGGAGTTATGCGGCCCGACACATGCAATGCATACACCTATGTATGTGATGTGTGCTTATGATCATAACTACCTCTGAATTGTTCCCGAAGTACCCTTGAACACTCCTAACGTTCCCCAGACTGTTTGCGACCATTTTAAAAGATTAATTGGACTCATTGGTGCCAAGAAATGTTTGAAACCCCGCAGAATCCATCAATGCTGCCTATTCCGCATATAAGCCGGTTCACAAGGTGGGGGGAAATTTTTCTAATCTGGTGCACTTGCTCATTGTTTTTAGGGTCCCCCAGGTCTGAATTTACTAATTTGTTACTTCACTCCTATAGAGATATCAAATCAGTTGAAGTTAAGTATGTCGACCGAGCTTTTACTCGACAGACAGTGGTCTTCACTAGTGGTCCATCTTGCCTGAGCCAATCCACCAACTTCACCCGATGCTAGTTGCAACTGCTGTATGACCCATATCATTAACGCAAGGTTATAGCTTCTAGGAAACAAATTTCATAGCCAATCTACAATCTGTAAAGCAGATGATATACAGGTCCGGTGCGATAGGCACTATCCATGTGGCAATTGCCAGGATGCAGACATCTCCTGTACTCAATGGCGGGCTGTAAAGCCCAAATATCTGGGCACTTGCCCCTAGGGTGGTTGCTCCCGCGGCTCTTTCTGTAGTTCCCGACGACGAGCAACACCTGATCATCAATTTGATGAAGGCAACTCGAGGAATGAAGTCTTGCCAGTCGTCCACTCTATCCAAAGTCCTCATTATAACGATTCACGTGGGATCAAAACCGGGGTTGTAGATGATTCGGTCTACGATGCTCAAATTACAATTCAGCATCAACTATTCCATCTACCAAGTCTTACTCTTGACCAACGCAGTGTGCTCGAAACAGCCTGATCTACCATAAGAATGTTTTCCGGCAATTCGAGAGCACTGTCAAAAAGAGAGTCTTCATGATCCTCGATAGGAAGTTTCCTCCCGAAGCACGTCATTTGAACTCCTTACCTGGATGCTGAAAGGTGCACCGATTGTTTCAACTACCTCGATACGTCACAAATTTGACACTCAACATGAAACTCCGCAGAGATCCGGTCTGCCAGACTAGATACTTTCGGATTGGATTATTTCAGACATATCTCAATTCAAAAATTGAAGCCGGTGGGCTTTCACTTCTTCGTAACAAGATACCGACTCGCAAATCCATCATCTACACCATTTGCTACAGTGCTATTGCCTATTGGTTTATCGTTACAATTGTAAATCTTCAAGAAGACGCCGACCTTGCCCTCGAGCTGGGGAAGAATACCAAAGAGTGAGCATCTGATCAGGCCGCATTGAAGCAGATCCTACCGCTGACACCATCCTCTCTTGCGTTGTTCCAGGCTATCATATTTGAGTGCAAGCCTCTGAATGCCGTCGCTACATTTTTTCTCGATCGGGCTAATCCATATCAAGAAATTTCTTCACCAAGGGATTGATCCCTCTCTGCCATACACATATGATTGAACTAGTGCGTAATACCTGCTTGCATTTCAGTCTGTGGATTTGGTATGGTATTCTTGTATTGATGGTATCCACTGTTTTTCTTAGAGATAGGGAAGAAGTTCTTTAATTTCCATAAATAATGATGATGTTCAACAAAGTTTTGTGAAATATTCGAAGTTTATATTTAGTGGTACTTACAGGTATATACCGTTGGCGTTAGGTACGGTCTTGCGGTACCAGACAGCGGGTTATATATTTCGTTCTCTATTGTTCCAATCTGAAAAAAACTATCAATGTATCTTCATCGTCCATTTCCGTTAATTTAAATTGCATTTGAATTTGCCGAGGCTGCTCTAAGAGACTACATGCTTGCAGGTGTAGAGATAGTGATAGCGTTGTGCTCATAGGCAAGTGTATGTACGATATATAGAGTCACCTACATGATTTTCTGCACGAAGACCACGAAAAGAAGAAAGGATACAAATTTGGAACGATGTTCATTCCTACCATTGAAACATGACTACTCAGAATTGTTGCATATTTAATCTGGTCGGAAATTTCGCTCGAAAAAGGAGGAGCCCGCGTTGAAGAAAGGGCATGACAAGCCGAGATCAAGATAACAAGAAACATCTCAAAAGCAAGCAATACCTTACAAGGCCGACGATTTTGATATAAATAGCCATAAAAGAATTACATCAGAAGACCCACAAAGGACGCAATAAATTAAGAGCAAAGCATATCGCAGAGCTCAAAATCTGCTTACTTGCGGCGGACACATGGTACATCAGGGGTTCAGATATACCATGGTTCGAGATCAAACAAAGAGAGCCGGAAGAACATAGTCGTGGCGGTGAAAAGAATTGAATCATAGAAACGTTGCGCCGCGTATCAAGAAATGGCAAAGTAGAAACACCGTTTTCCCATCACAAGGTTGAAGTTTAAAAAGATACGAACTCGCTGAATAACGGACAAGACAGCATCGGGTGACAAGGCCATTAACCTAGTTGACACGGAACGAGTCGAAGATGACTGCGCGACCAGTTAGTACAGAACAATCACAGCTTAAGTTATTCAAGAAGCCTACCTTCATGACCTCTGCGGCAACCGCTGCCGATCCACATCAAGGTGTTCAAGAATGTGTATCGCTCATCGCCGGTCTCCATGGAAAGATTGACTCGGTACTTGTAGCTCCCGGGGTTGACACCATCTGCCATGTTGGCATCGATAACCTTTTCGAGAACATCCTTGGCACCTGTCAACCATCCCTCTGTGCGCACAATGATAAATGCGGGTGGCTCATCGACAGTCTGAAGAATATAACTCGCACGAAGGTTGGTAGTGGAGTCCTTGGTAACGATCTGTGTATCTTGACCACCGGGCTGTTTTCTAAAGTTAAAACGCTGGACAAGGAGAGATTGGGGGGTTGAGATTCAGCCTTACCAGAACGATACCCTTGCCCCATCGACCAGCCCATTGGCCGCCGACGAACGACACCCACTCTCTTTGGCCCCAGACGCTGGGGCCAACAGAGACCTTGGGGTTCATTTTGATGCTCATACGGAAATCCAGCTCCAGGGATGGCGCAGGGATTTGAAGTGATCGGGCGACGTCGCCCTCAGGGAATGTGTGAAGCAAGTTGTTGGCGGGGATCGAGTCCTTCATCACGCTGAGATAGGTAGGACATTCGAGCAGATGCTGGCGTTGGCGACTGGTGTTCTTCGCACGAACTTGCTGGCAATAAATGCATTGGACGGATAGGCACTGTTTCACACTATTAGCTTTTTATATTCAAACGTAGATGGTAGCCGAGTTCCATCGCCGTACCTTGTCTTCTTCCTTTGCGCGGAACTCAACGAAAGCTGCATGAACATCGTCTAGTGGGGGCGCGGGCAAGCTCGAACTTGCCGTCTTGGCTTTTGGTTTGGGAGTCGGACGCGAAGGCACGGCGCTTGGCGGCGCGGACGGAGCACCGGTAGGTGGAACCGGCGTCGCCATTGTGGCGCGGTTCTGGAGAGCGCCGAGTGGGGTCTGCAAAGGTGTAGCATGAGGGTTGACACCGTTGGTCATGAGGGTGCCATTGGGAGTTGGGATACTAGGACCAGTTGGACCTGTCGGGGTGGCTGTCGGGCCATTGGGAGTTCCGGGGTAGCCATTTGGAGGACCGATTCCGTTAGGGGCGGCCTGGGCGGGCTGGGAAGGCTGAGGCGCGTTGGGGTGACCGCGCAGACCTGGACATTCAAGAAGATGTTGTTTCTGTCGCGAAGTGTTCTTTGCTCGAATTTGTTGGCAGTATATACACTGAACGGAGAGACACTAAGACATGCACAAACCCCAAAACGGGTTTTCGTATGTTAGTGACGGAGACAGGTCGTGGGTGAAATATTACGAAATACACAGTCACGCACCTTGTCATCTTCCTTGGCGCGAAACTCGACAAATGCCGCGTGTACCTCCTGGTCGACAGTGCGACCCATGATGAGGGGAACAAGGGGAGTAAGGGAAGTAATAATTTCCAGGATAGCAAACAAAAAAAGTCGAAAGACGAATGGGTAAGGGCGCGTATGGGTTGTAAAGTTGGAGGGGTCAGGGTGAGAGAAGAAAAGAAAATGGAAAGATGAAGACAGGAGAATACGCGGGTTACGCGCCCTGCGTAATTTGGAGCACTGCTTACGGTACGTGCCACTACCTGTACTGGAGGTATATTACCTACTTTGTACAGCTATTACCTGTTGGTCTATTCAATCTCTTACAATATGATAGTTTTCACTTGTTTATCTTTTCGCTTACACGTCATCACTTGCTGCTACCTACGGAGCTGGTATGATTTGATTAAACTCGAAACATCGGCCAATGGATGAGACCGGTGGTCGGGGCCCTAGAACCATGACCCTAGAAATCTGAAATGTGCAAGGAATGAACCATGAATAGCTACCTACTGAAAGGCAAGTTCAAACCGAAGGCCTTGAATAATCCCTATAGAAAGTTACTCGGCTATGAACCTAAATATCTCTCATAGTCCTAGAGGTGGAAGCCTGTAAGCTTATCGATTGCCGAGTCGGAGGTTTCAGGGCAAACGAGGCACACTCGGATCAGAGACTTCTATGATTGGATTTGGTGGGGGAAGACAATTTTCCTATGTGAGTCTCACGCAATAAGCAAAACAGAAAAGGAATATGAACAACAGAAGCAAGTCTCTGAAAGAAGATTTTGACACATTCATATTTCCGTTCTATACTTCCCTCGTATACTTGTTCCGTTCATTTCCAAGGTTGGCAATCGAAACATCTCCGGGTATTATTACTGTTACTGAACCTGTTGTGCTATTCCGTATCCCATACACAATACTGTCAACTACTTCAATTATAACATACAGGTTCCTGGTAAGATTGGGGGGGGTATAAATGTGCTTTGAAAAATTAAGAAAAATCCACGACTTGTAGATCCGTTCGAATGATCTTTACCTCCTTACCCGTGCCATATCACCTTCTCTTGCTCTTTTCTCTTACACTTCTGTAAAGATGTTCTTCCATCTTCCATCCGCGCATTCCGGTAATGCAATACCCCCAGCACAGATCGCGTCAATAGTTTCGTCCATACATTTTCGGCGTTCTTTTATAGCGATGGAACCAGCTGCGCACGAATGAGCAGAGCCCATATCTTCTTCCATTTGCATTTCAACTCCTCGACAATGCGCCATCAATCATGTGTTCGACGTCATTCATGCTCTTCATTTGGGCCCATTGCGCACGGTTCACACTTGGGTTCCAGACAGTCGCAGGAAAATCTCACCATAGCGATAGCAGACTGCCCACTCCGTGCTTTCGTCGATGTACCCGTCTTGGTGAACATGCAGTACACCCTTTGTAGCGAGCGTGAGAATGTTCATCAAAGCCTGGGTTGCGACAGCTCGCGTAGTACTCCCAGGGGGAAGAAGATTTGCGAATGTGGTCTCAAGTCTGGCCGCGACCGAGCTGGACTCGTTGCTGTTCGGACTTACTCTGTTTCCTGCGTTGCTCTTTTCAGTAGCACCCATCTTGGTCTTCATGAAATCTATGAAATTCAAGCTTTCCCGATCAAGGGTTGACTTGGCACGTTCGAGAGCAGAGCGCTTGCTTGGCGATAGTGAGCTGATTTTCTCGCGGTCTGTTGCAAGCTCGCCTTCAAGATACTGGGTAAGATTTAGATCGTCTTCGAAATCACCTAGTAGCTCGAGACTAAGTCGGTCCTGTCCCCCTAGATAGCTGCGCCCGGCAAGCGGACTGGCGCTGGTGAGACGGCTTCGGGCCTTGCGTCCTTGAGAAGACAGTTCACTCAGACTGCCGAATCGATGTCTTTGCCGAGAGCTTTGAATAGAAGCGGTGGCGTTCCATGGCATCTGGGACGAGTGGTCGTCAAAGAGACTGGAAGGGGCATCACGGCCGACTTCAACTTCCATATTGAGGCGGTCGATGTTCTCACGGCTGAGGTACTCTGTTTGTTCTTCTCTTGCGCGTACTCGACGTCTCTCTGATATTTCACTGTCATCTGCGCTGCGCTTCCGCCCTTCTCGCCGAGGGTATCCACCAACAGCTTCAAACAGACTCTCGCCCGAGAAGAGGCGAAGTGGATGCGCTTCATGGTCCATTCCCAATCCCACTCCGACCGAGCCGATTCCCTGACCGAAAACCCAGAAAGCAGCGTTCTTCTTCGAAATGGCTGGAATCTTATTTTGCTGCTTTTGCTTCATTGCGTACGTCATGTTCGCAACGTACCCATTGGGCCATTGGGCCATCGTCATATTTCGAAGCGCCGTGGTATCGTCGGAGATGATTTCCTTTGGGCGTCTTACCCGGCGCTTCTTCGTAACTTCAATTTCAATTGTTTCTTCAAACCCATCCAGGCCTTCATTTGTCTGAGGAATTGTCAGACCTGCGGTCTGGGTGTCAAGCTCCATCATGTCGTTAGTCTCGGTCAATCTAACTTCTTCGTTATCATTCTGCATCTATCGAGCAGAGTCAGTGGATGCCTTTTGGTTTCGGCATGGATGCTTGCTACCCACCGAGTCTTCATAAAGCTGGCGTTGTTGGTTGTCTTTCAGTCCTTCGCTTTCCCTCAGACCAACAGTGGACTTCCTTACGGGAGGGATCTTCCCTCTGTCACCAAGCTCAATGATATTGCCATCCTCGTCAAATTCAAAGTCAGGCTGAAGGAGTACACCTTCTTCATTGGCTGGTTCTAGCCCCGTCATGTTGTGGAAAGCATCTGTCTTCTGCGCAGGCCTATTGATCTCATCGATCCCTAGGATAGTACCCTCTCCCAGGACATCATCCGACGGGAGCTCAAGGTGCAGGCTTGAATGTCGCGAAGTGCCAGACAAGCCACTGTTGGGTGACTTGGTCCAGAGACCACTGAGTTGGCTCGAGCTATCGTCCGTTGTGGCAGTGAAGTATGACAAGTCAATATCAAGTCCCGGGAGGGCTGTCTCGGGGAAGAAGGACGGGTCATAAGGTAATATCAGATTGCTGGGCCTGGGATGAGGTTAAAATCTAACCAATAGTTTGAAAACTGATGCCACCAATCAGTGGAACTCACCTGGTTTTTCCGGCAGCGGGATCAAGCCCACTCCCTGGGATGATCTTCAGCTTGGAGACCATCTTGTCATGCATCGTCTGTGTGTCAAGTAGCGTGTAACCACACTGTTGATTATACACTCGAGAAAGACCATACCTAACACAGGCAAATTGTTAGCATACCCGTGGAGAAATTACCGAGAAACAGGTCTCACAACAAGCTCCCCTGCAGTCGAAGGGCCATAGGTGCGTCCGGATTGATAATAACTCGGCATGCATTGGGGACATCCACGTCCAGGATGGCTTTTCGGTTCAGTCTTCTGGCAATGGACCTGGATCCCAGCGTAGCGACTAGCCTGTGGAGAGAGCATCATCAGTCCTGGCGGTATAATCCTGGAAGCCCTGAGTGTCATTACCATATTGTTGCGACACCATGTTCTGGCGAGGTGAGGACTAGAGCGCGACAAGCGAGTGAGCGTTTGGTTCGAGATAACGATGTGCAGAGACCTCAGACTTACTTTCATGGCTGTAAAACATGATTGCGGCTCAAGTGGACTCGAGTGAGTCTCAGGCCCTCGACTCTTCACACAGTTTGGATTTTCAGGTGCAGGCTAGGGGTAGTGACATTGGATCAGACGAAATGCTTTTTGGTAAGAGTGGATGTTGGAGAGGAAGAAAGATATCACGGCTGGTTGCCTGTGGGCCAGAGTTGTGAGTGGGTGATTCTGCAGTGGTTTGGATAAAAGTGAGTGAAAGGTACCATGAAATGCCCTCGATGAACACGGTTGATAAAACGACGGGAAAAGAGGATACAAGGAAGATGGAGAAAGTGGAGAGTTGATATGCGAGGGTGTGCAAATCCACCAGCCCGAGCACAAGACCCTTGAGACTGAGGTGAACAGATGCGTTGTGCATCTCAGCATATGGACCACGCTTAAAGCCACAGTTCTTACAAGCTAGGGTTATAGGTTCCAGTTAAAATGCATTGTTCTCTAATTTACAGTCGATTGAATTGATTTCCCATTTCCAATCGTTCAATAAACCAAACCGACTCGTATGTGGTCCTGGGATAGAGAATAACTCGTCGGGGACTAGGTCACACCCCGAAACTAGAAGGAAGAAAGATTTCACTTATTCTTGAGACTCTTTGAGAAACTGTATGTCAGCTGGGCATAAGGGGATAAAAAACGATGGGTCGCCCGAAAGGAGACAGCAGAATTCTAGGGAGCAAAAAATGGACCAAGACCAACAGAGACCGCACTCTTTTGACAGAAGTAGAATGGTAGACATAATCAACTATAGAAGATCTGAAAATTGATAGGAACCCCCCAGAAATCTCCAACCCAGAGCGATGTATAGGATGCACGGGGGGTATGAGACAAAAGACATGCACGAACAGCACACGAGCACACACTGATAGCTACTCATCACTGCCTTCGAGTGGTAGTTTAGTCGAGAGGAATACCCTCATACTCAGAGTAACCCAGGGCCAAATTCATGTTTTCTATTGAGTTCGTTAGCGTCATGGCTGATGAATTAAATGGATTCAACACTTACGCAAGCACTGGGTGGCGGCACCCTTCAACAGATTGTCAATTGTGGCACAGACAACCACGCGCTCGCCGCTGGAGTGGACAGCGAATCCGCCGATCTCGACACCGTGGCGGCCGGCAATGTCTTTGACAAGAGGGGCTTCACCCACGATCTTGACGAGCTTCTCACCAGCATAACGATCCTGGTAGAGGTTACGGATATCGCGGGAAGTCATCTTTTGCTTCAGAGGAATGCTGATAGAGTGCTTGATATAAGTGTTAGCAATTGTAAGGATCGATAAGCAGTCAGCAGGCACTTACAGAGATACCCTGGAACCAAACCGCGACGTGAGGAATGAACGCAATGCTGGTGCCCAGCTGTGCGCTGATCTCACGTTCGTGGATGTGGTCAGTCAGACTGTAGGGGATGAGATTGTTGGTAAGGAACTGCACGTCATTCTTTGGGCTGGGCTTAGTACCCGCGCCGGAGTATCCAGAAACACCGAAGGTGGTGGGCTGGCCGCCAAGGAACGGAACAAGAGGAGCAATTCCAAGCTGAGCAGCGGTGGCGTAGCATCCGGGATTGGCAATGCGAGTAGCCTGGGCAATCTTAGATCGCTCAACGAGCTCGGGAAGACCGTACGTCCACTTAGGGTCGAAGCGGTAATCAGCGCTCAGGTCAACAATGACGTTACCCGTCTTGGAACCTTCGTCAACGGCATCGACAAAAGGCTTGCAAATCCCATTGGGCAGGGCCATCACCCAACAGTCGATGTCACCGTTGGCAGACATCCTGCGGACATCCTCGGGGCTGAGATTCTCGTAAATGATCTCGCGCTTTTCGTATCCTTGGAGCTTCTTACCAGCCAACTCACGCGATGAGACGTGACGAAGATCCATGTTAGGGTGAGCGTTGAGAAGGTTGATCAGGGCCTGGCCGGTATAACCACGGGCACCAATGAGAGCAATTTTGGCAGGCTGGGTGTTGGAGATGTTCTTCTCTCCAAGGGGAGGGTTAGGGTTGGTAGTGGCATAGGTGCGGAAAGAGTTCACGGCAACGGTGGGACGCTTAGCACGGGTCATGCGCAGGGCATTGGTGGCGGTTGAGAACCCACGTTTCTGCTCAGCAGAAGCACCGCTAGCGCCGAAGCCTTTGCCAATGTTTGCGGCAGCCTCAGCCGCACGGTGAAGGCGCGCTTCAAGGTTAATATCACCGAACATCTGGCGGCCGTGCGCGTTGAACTCCTGAACCAGCTGCTTAACTTCCTCGCCATTTTCGGCGCCGTACCAGAACAGGACCTGGCCATCACGGCTCAAGCTACCATCGGCTTTGTCAAAGAACCAGGTCAGGTTCTCATCATCCTCCTTGACAGTCCATGCTAGCTTGGTGAAGTCCTTCTTGATGCTGGCGAACACGTTGTCGGCAACATTAGTCAGCCAACCAGACTTGGTGATGGTGAAGGTGGCCAAGTGAGCCATCTGGGAGTTGGGTTGAGGGGGCAGCACAACGGCCAGAGCTTCCATGGGCTCGTCGTAGTAGATCTTGAAGTCCTTCTCCTTCATACCCTCGACGTAGCGGTCAACAACGGCACGAGCATCAAGACCCTCGCGATCACGGATTAACACTTCCTTCAGAGCCTTCAAGTCTCCAAACTCGGACAGAGAGGTTTTCACATGGACCTTGTTACCGCGGCGAATCAGGGTACCAGCACCGGAATCAGTGAAAAGTTCCTTTTGGAGATCAGCAGGGTGGATGATTGCGACGCTAGATGAGCGAGGCAAGTCGCTGAGGAGCTCCTTCATCTCCTTGATCTTCAGGCGAGTGCCGTGGCGCACCCACCACTGACTCATCAGGTGGTCGTATTCCTCGTCGAGATTGATGGCGGAGATTTTCTCACCGGTGTCACCGTTGAATAATCCGCCCTTCTCGGCAAGATAGACAATCTTGAGGGGCTGCAAGGCGCGGGCAAGCTCACCAGCAGCCACATCAGCATTAACATTGAGCACCTGGCCGTCGGGGGTCTCGGCCATGGAGGTCAGGATGGGCAGACACCCAGCAGCAATAGCTGACTCAATTGGAGACTTGTCAACACCGTTGATCTTACCCACCAGGTTGTACTTGGGCTTGTCGAGGTAATCAGCCGAAAAGACGCCTGCGGTAATGGGACGGGCGCGGATGCCGATGCGCTCAAGCTCCTCAACCAGCTTCATGTTCTCCTCCAGGAACAGCTTGCGAGCGAGGGCCAAGGTCTTGCCATCAGTCACACGGATACCATCCTCGAACTGAGGCTCAACGCCGGCCGCCTCCAACATGCGGTTGAGCTGGGGGCCGGCACCATGGACGACGATCGGGTACAGACCGACATGATTAAGGAATGCGAGCGCGGACGACAGTGTCTGGAGGTGCTCTGTAATAATAGCGCCACCAACCTTGATCACGGCGAATTGCTGAGAGGACACGGAGGTGAAGTGTGACAGGTACTGCTGGACCTCGCGCTTGGAGCCAATATTGCTCAACAGTTGCACGACGGTGCTGCGGGTGGAGGTCAGGTGAGGATCCGTCGAGCGGGAGTAGTTGCGAGTCTGGTGCAGGGAAGTGGCAGTCTTTGCAGCTGAGACTCGCAGATGAGCCGTCGGTGCGGAGAGAGAACGGATGGGCTTGCACGAAGCTCTCCGCACAGCGGAGCGAAGGGACATCATCTTGGCAACGCACATGCGGCAGCCTCAATGGTCTCACGGTCGGCCC